CCAGCCTCAGGTATTCCTTTACACAACACCAAGGGACTAAGATGACACATGAAATAGGGTCTATCAGCTCCAATCAGCTAAATGGCTCAAGAGCAGCACTATCAAGAAGAATGCTTCCCTGGATAAGTATTGTTTCTGATTGCCCAACATTCTTTCATTAGGGCATTATTTATCTCTCATGGCATGAGGTCCTCAAGTGGCTGCGATGGCAGAACCCTGCTCCCTTAGCTTCAGAAAGTTCATTTATTATTTTTTTTCTTCTGGGAATTTGGATCTTGATTGGAAACACGCAGTTGCCTGAGGCAGTTAAAAGAAGTCTCCCAATTGAAGTGCTCTGGAAGGAAATACACAAACTTTCTCTGGTTTTCCAGCTTTTCCTTGAGTCTGTGAGCTACTTTGTGCCTACACTAAACAGGGTCAGTTTCACTTGCTTACCCACAAAGAATCCTGATGCCAAAATGCAAAAGGGCTAGTCTTGCCAATCAAGTTTCTTGAAGGGAAATGTCAAGATTGTGTTACATTCCCTAATCATTTGCTAAGGCGGAGAAAACAGTGACTCAGAACTAGAACAGAAACCATCTGGCTTAACAAATTTTCCTAATGAGAAAACAATTCCAAAGAGAAGAGACTGATTGGAAAACACACAATTAGTAATGACGGACCCAGATTCGAAACACCTGATGCTTAAGTCTAGCGCCTTTTTCCAACTATCAACATTTTTAATGGATAATCCCCCAAAATGAGTAACTATCTAGTAATTGGATGCAGAGTCTATTTCTAATATTTTTAAAAAGGTGTATATAGAACAGTGGTTACTTTGCTTTTCAATGTTTTAACACATTCATGCAGTTCAGAAATTTATTTTTTAAATGCAGTGTAGATCTTTCTCCCACACCTGCCCCACCTGTCCTGTCCCTTTCTATCCTAAGGTAACAACGTTTATTCATTTCTTTTGTATGCTTCCAGGGTTTCATTATGCAAGTGCAAACACATGTATTTCCTTATTTTTTTTTTCTTCCAAGTCAGGGTTTCGCTCTGTTGCCCAGGCTAGAATGCTGTGGTGTGAACACGGCTCACAGCAACCTCAACGTTTCAGGATCAAGCAATCCTCCTGCCTCCACCTCTTGAGTAGCTAGACCACAGTGGTCACTGGCTACTCTCACTTCGGCCTCCTAAAATGCCGGGATTACAGGCCTGGGCCACGATGCCCGATCTGTTTCCTCCTTTCTTACATCAAAAAGAGAATACCCTACATACTTTTATGCACCTTACTTTTTAAACAAGAACTTTTATAGATTTTCCACATCATTACATGAAGAACAGTCTTATTTTTACAGGTGCATTATATCTCACTCTATGGACATATGTTTATTTAAGCCATCCCCAGGTGATGGATATTTAGGATATTTTCAGTCTTTTGCTGTTCAAACAATACCCTTGTAAATAACATCAGTTCATAGCTAAGCAATCTTTTTGTGCAACAGATTTCCAGAAGTTTATTTGCTGAGTCAATGCAGATGTATGAATTTGAAATTCTGATAGATATTAACTAACTGCCTGCATAAGGGTTCATGTACATTTGTATGCTACATGCACGAATCATCAGACCTGTTTCCCACAGTTTTGTTAAACAGTATGTTATAAAAAACAATAATTGTCCAGTTCAGCTATTTAAGGAAAAGTAACTCAGAAGAGTTAATTATTTTAAGTAATACAAAAAAATTCTGTAAGACAGCTTACCTGTAGATTTTCTACCTTGAATATACAACAAAGAGAGTGTAATAAAAAGCTGTCCTCTGAAATCACTCTTGTTGCAGTTAAGAGATTTGCTGTCAGGAAAGGAAGCAGGAAGCATTAGGTTAGCTGCAGAAAGTGTTTACTGTTATTTGCTGTACTCTCTTTATTACATGCATTTAATATTCAGTACTAATATTCAATAGTACTGAATATTAAATGCATGTAATAAAGAGATCTTCCAAACAGGCTTTGTGTGGGCAACAAGGCCATTTTATTTCTCGCTTGGGTTCAAGTGGGCACAATCCAAGAAAGGACTGGTGAAGGGGGTAAGGTGGGAATTGGATTCATAGTTTGGGGTAGTTTTTTGGGGAAGAGGGTGTTGCAGAGTAAGATCAGTTATAGTGGTGAGGGGTAGGGGCAAGAAGTATACATGACCACAAGTTCAGTTACAATGGCAAGTGGGGGTGAGGCAGAAGAGCAGTTAAGATGGCAGGATGGATGAGAGGTATTCACAGTATCATAAGAATAGTTAAGATGGCAGGGTTGGGTGAAGGGCTTGTCTGGGGAATCTCCCCTGGGTGATCAGGGACAATGGCTAAAGCAGGCGGTGGGGGCTGGGAAATGTTCAGCTGAGGCAGGCAGGACTTCAGACTTTCAGGCTCTAGGCTTGCATATGGGGACCTGACATCTACCAAGCAATAATCTCTTTTATGTTTAAGCTGACCAAGTTGAAACTCTTCAATAAACTGGACTTTTCAAATCTTGGCTCTTGCACTTTCAACTGTTGACCTTAAGCAAGTTACTTAAACTCCTTTTGCCCTATCTTCACAACGAGGATTCCTGAGAGAAGACACATAAAGCTCATAGAACAATGTCTGAACACATAAGTGTTCAGTTCATATCAACTATTGTCATCATATGATTTGCACATCTCACAGTTATCTTTAATGAGCCTGAGGAAATGTGGTAGTGAGACTGACAGGGAGTATAATCTCAAATACATTTGAAGGTATGGAGTGAAAAGAAGGAGAAATGGGTAACGGAAGGAACAAGAGGATGTATGATCTGTCCACTGCATTCAAATTCAAATTAAAAAAAAATCCATGTTGGCCAAACAAAATAATTCTGCATGCAGACAATTCTGTCTTGGAGATTGTAATATCAAAAATAATTTCAATATTCCATTTAGCTTTACCATTCCATACTTAAGTTATTTTAGCCAATAGTGCCAGCATTCTACCGGGACTTCACCACTTAGCTTCAACTCCCTTCTCCTTTGCTGCCTCTTTATTTGATCATTCTTATATTCTGTTCATACCTCCATTCAATGCATCCTTAGCCCTCTTTCCAACATAACTTCTGAATGCTCCATGTCTCTGCCCACTTCTCCACCTATATTAGTCAACTATTGCTGCAAACCTAGAGTTTTACAACAATAAAGGTATAATTTTCTTGCTCTCCAGTTTGAGGGTCAGTCAGGGAGGATCTGCGTCAGTTTGTAGTTGGCTGGGCTTTGGGATTAGAATCACAATGCAATTTATATGTCTCTCATTCTCCCTGGACCAGCAAAAGACAGGAGCACAAGAGGGCAGACAAAAAAATACAATGTCTCTTGAAGTCTGATATGGTTTGGATTTACATCCTTGCCCAAATCTCAAGTCAAATTATAATTCCAGTGGTTGGAGAAGGGGACTAGTGGGAGGTAATTATATCCTGGGGGCAGATTTCCCCCTTGCCATTCTCATGACAGTGAGATCTCATGAGATCTGATGTTTTAAAAGTGTGTGTCACTTCCCCCTTCACTCTGTCTCTCTGCTGCTGCCATGTGAAGAAGGTGCTTGTTTCCCCTTCACCTTTTGTCATGACTGTAAGTTTAATGAGGCCTCCCAGTCATGCTTCCTGTTAAGCTTGCAGAACTGCGAATCAATTAAACCTTTTTTTCTCCGTAAATAACCCACTCTCCAGTAGTTCTTTATAGCATTGTGAGAATGAATTAATACAGAAAGTTGGTTCCAGAAGAGTGGGGCATTGTTATAAATGCACCTGAAAATATGGAAGTGACTTTGGAACTGGGTAACAAGCAGAGGTTGGAACAGTTTGAACGGAGGGCTTAGAAGAAAACAGGAGAATGTGGGAAAGTTTGAAACGTCCTAGAGATTTGCTACATGGCTTTGACAAAAAATGCTGACAGTGATATGGACAATGAAGTCTAGGCTGAGGTGGTCTCAGATGGAGATGAGGAACTTACTGGGAATTGGAGTAAAGGTGACACTTGCTATGTTTTTGCAAAGAGACTAGTGGCATTTTGCCTCCGCCCTAGAGATCTGTGGAACTTTGAACTTGAGAGCGATAATTTAGCATATCCAGCAGAAGAAATTTCTAAGCAACAAAACATTCAAGATGTAACCTGGCTGTTCCTAAAATTGTACGCCTATATGTGTGAACAAGATATGATCTGAAACTGAAACTTACATTTAAAGGGAAGCAGAGCATAAATGTTTGGCAAGTTTGCAGCCCAGCCATGAGGTAGAAAACAGTAACACATCTCCTGGGAAGAAATTCAAGCCTGCTGCAAAAATTTGCATAAATAAAGCGAAGCCAAATGTTAATAGCCAAAACAATGGGGAAAATGTCTCCAGGGTATGCAGAGATCCATCACAGCCCCAGGGCCCAGTAGAAAAAAAAAACGGTTCTGTGGGCCAGGTCCAGGGCACAGCTGCTCTGTGCAGCTTCAGGATATGGTTTCCTGTGTCCTAGCCACTCCTGCTCCAGCCGTGGCTAAAAGGGGTAAAGGTACAGCTTCAGAAGGTGCAAGCCCCAAGCCTTAGTAGTTTCCACATGGTGTTTGGCTTGCATATGCACAGAAAACAAGAGTTGAGGTTTGGGAATCTCCACCTAGATTTTGGAGGATGTATGGAAACACTTGGATGTCAAGGCAGAAGTTTGCTGCAATGGTGGAGCCCTCATGGAGAACCTCTACTAGCACAGTGTGGGTGGGAAATGTGGGGTTAGAGCCCCCACACAGAGCCCCTACTGGGGCACTGCCTAGTGGAGATGTGAGAAGAGGGCCACAGTTCTTCAGACTCCAGAATGACAGCTTGCACTGTGCACCTAGAAAAGCCACAGGCACTCAAAGCTAGCCCATGAAAGCAGACAAAGGAGCTGTAGAGCTGCAGGGGTGGGGCTGCCTAAGGCCTTGTGAGGTCACCTCTGGCATCAGCATGCCCTGGATGTGAGACATAGAGTCAAAGGAGATCATTTTGGAGCTTAATATTTAATGACTTCCCTGCTGGGTTTTGAATGGCATGGGGCCTGTGGGCCCTTCATTTTGGCCAATTTCTCCCATTTGGAATGTAAGCATCTACCCAATGCCTTTACTCCCATGTGTCTTGGAAGTAACTAACTTGTTTTTATTTTACAGGCTTATAGGTGGAAGGAACTTACCTTGTCTCAGATGAGACTCTGGACTGTGGACTTTTGAAATAATGCTGAAATGAGTTAAGACTCGGGGACAGTTGAGAAGAGATAACTGTATTCTGTAATGTGAAAAGAACATAAAGTTTGGAAGGGCCAGGTGTAGAATGATATGGTTAGAATTTGGGTCCCCACCCAAAGCTCATGTCAAATTGTAATTCCAAATGTTGGAGGAGGGGCCTGGTGGAAAGTGATTGCATCATGGGAGCAGATTTTCTCCTTGCTGTTTTCATGATAGTGGGTGAGTTTTCATAAAATCTAATAGTTAAAAAGTGTGTGGCACTTCCTCCTTCACTCTCTCTCTCTCCTGTTGCCATTGGATGTAGGTGTTTGCCTCTCCTTCTTCCATGACTGTAAGTTTCCTGAGGCCTCCCTGTCATGCTTCCTGTTAGACCTGTGGAACTCTGCGTCAATTAAATCTCTTTTCTTCATAAATTACCCAGTCTCAGAAAGTCCTTCATTTCAATGTGAGAACAACAAGGTCTTAGCCTGAAACTGGCACACTGTGACTTCTACCTATATTTCACTGGTCAAATCAAATCGCATGGCCAATTCCAACATCAGTGGGGCTAGGAAACATACTCTATTGATTTTAGAGGAAGGTATTACAAAACTATTCCAAACAAAAGTTGGCAAAAGTTGCAAATATATAATTTGAATGAAAGAAGGACATGAATAATTGCGAACAAATGAATCAATATACCACAGCATATTCTTTTTTTTCTTTTTTTTGAGACGGAGTTTCGCTCTTGTTACCCGGGCTGGAGTGCAATGGCGCGATCTCGGCTCACTGCAACCTGCGCCTCCTGAGTTCAGGCAATTCTCCTGCCTCAGCCTCCTGAGTAGCTGGGATTATAGGCACACACCACCGTGCCCAGCTAATTTTTTTTTTTTGTATTTTTAGTAGAGACGGGGTTTCACCATGTTGACCAGGATGGTCTACGATCTCTTGACCTCATGATCCACCCGCCTCGGCCTCCCAAAGTGCTGGGATTACAGGCGTGAGCCACCGCGCCCGGCTGCACAGCATATTCTTTTGATCATAATTGTCACTGTCCTTTCCACATCAAAAACACACTTAGCCCTGCCCCAAGACATCAATCACGAGGGTGGAGAGATGTGGAGTAGATCTAAACCCAGAGTCAACCCTAACTCAGGTGACCTGTAGCCTGAAATAGTCACTTGGCTAAGCCAGCTTAAATCAGCAGATCTACAAGTGTGAAATAAGTGTTTGTTGTTATAAGACACTGAGTTTATTGTATTACCTGACTAAGACAATACATTTTCTCATATTTGTTTCTATATCCTTGACATGACTTTAATCACTTCCTTAATCTTCTTAAATCCTTCCTGTGTCTCAGATTGATACAAATCTTCTTTCAGTGCCTGTTTCTTTATCTCATCTTCAATAATATCTATAGAGGCAATGTCATTCATTTAGTGCTTTGAGCATTGATCCTCTAAATGTTTTTTTGAAAACTTATTATTCACTCATCTTTACACAAAGATTTTTGAATACCTACTGTGTGCCAGGAACTTGAAAAACAATAATGAAAAGAGAATCTATCCTCAAGGAGTCTAGAGTTAATAGGTATAAACAAGAAACAATTAAGAAGGGACATAAATGCTCTAATTTACAAATTATTAATCTTAGCTCTTTAAATTTGAAGCTAGGGTAAAGAGTTACAGGCAAAGATTATTTTATTCTTTTTAAAAAATTTATTTTTTAATTTACGCATCATAGATATACATAATTTTAGAGGACGTGATAATTGGATACATTCATATAATTTGTAAAGATCAAACTAATGTACTTTTGATATCTATCACATCAAATATTTGTCTTTTCTTTATGCTAAAAATGTTCAAATTATTCTCTTCTAGCTATTTTAAAATGTACAATAGATTATTGAAAACTATGGTCACCCTATTAATCTAACATTAGGTCTTATTTGTTCTATCAAACTGTATATTTGATACCCATTAATAAACTTCTCTTCATACACTCCTCCCCTGTACACTTCCCAGTCTCTCATTCTTTTTTGATCCTTTTATAGTACTAAGTACAATTATTTGTCTAGAATAAATGTTCAATAAAGAGTTGACTTGTTTTGTTGTTAAATGACATCACAACCCAATGGCCTTTGTGCTATGTCTAGCAACTGAGTATTTAGTCCATTATTCCCAATAAACATTTTACATAGTGTTCCAGGCATTGTGCAAGGCCCAAGTATTCCAGGTTATCAAGCAGAACATAGTCTGGCTAAGACAGGCATGTAATTACGATAGCACTTACTGTACTATATTAAGATACCTGAGAGTACTATGGGACCAAAGAAGGGTAGCCAGCTTCATTTGGGGAAGGACTTTATAACTACATAATTATAATTGCAACTTTAAAAACATGTAGAAATTTTCCAAGCAGAAAAAAATAGGAAAGAATACTCTAGGTCACAAGAACATCATACATAAAAGTACAGGGTCATGTAAAAGCATATGAGTTTGAAGATTAGCAAAGCATTAAATATGGATAGAATTTAGGCTGGTTGGGAGTTGGGTGATGAGAGATGAAGCTGCAGCTGAATTGAGAGGATCCTTGTATGAAGTCTAGAGGAGCTGATGAACTGAGATATTCTGAGGAGATAAAGAAACGAGTGGGAGCTTTTAAGCATAGACGAATAGTAATCTGCTATTTTATTTGAGGGTGACAATCTTATGACAGTGTGGAGATTAGAATAAGAAAAAATAATGTGATTATAGAAAGACCAGTTAGGAAACAGTTGAAATAATTCAAGTCTAAAATGATAAAGGCCTGGTTATGATGGGCCTGGCTATGATAAGGGCTGGACTGGAAGGACATTTTTGCAATAGAGATTTTAGGACCTGCTAAATCAGGGGTTGGAAAATGTAGAGGAGATGAAGATAAAACAAGTCTGCACTCTGTCTAAGCTGGGAGCTGATGGGAGTGGTGACCTAAAATAGGAGAATAGGCAGGTTCCACCCGCAAAAGACAGGGCTCTGGACTTGAGTCTTGTCTGTTCTACCCATTGCTCTGTCACCCTGAGGGAGATACTTCACCTTCTGAAACAGTTACACCTTCTATAAAATGGAAATATCTACTTCATGGGATTGTTTTGAAATTAAATGGAAGTAAAAGATAAAAATGTCTATCTTACTTCCTGAGCCATAGAAGCTACTTGATAAATATATTTTGAACAAAGTGAACAGAGAAATAGAAGGAATAGCAGAGACTGGGGTTTAAATCTAGCTGGTTATATAATGTTGAGTGTATTACCTAAATTCCTTGACACTCTGTTTCTTCATTTGTTAAAGAGTGAAAATTTGACCTGCCTCATTGGGTTGTTGGGAAGATTAAACCTGAGACCATATGCAAATCCTGATGTACACTGACAGATGGTAGGCACTCAATCAATTTGTATTGAACAAGAGTATGAATTAATTCAACTGAGCTTAGCAATCTTGTTTAAAGAAGCAGAAAAATATACAACCCCTTTAATAAATATTACATACACAATCATACAACTACTCATAAAAGACGATGTTAAATCTCTTTAAATGGTAAGTTTCCATTATTTTGAAAGCCAATTTACTTAGAAATGATTATTCAAAATGGCATGCTTTGCTAATCTAATTGTATTGCATGAAAAACAAAGTCAAGTATACAACTAAATCTTCCTGCCGAGAATAGCGATCTGCATAACTTTTACCCCAAAGAAGTGGTACACAGACTGAAAAAACTTGGGAACCATGATATTTAAAAAAAGCCAAGTGCTACTAGCATTGATTGTCTAATTATGGGTGTGTCTTTAATTTGTTGCTGATACTATTCCTGCTTGAATAAATGCATTTTCTTTCCTATATTGTGGCTATTGTAGATACTGCCAGCTGCACCGCACTCCTGTCTACTCTACTCTCTTTTAGTAATTGAGTCAATCTGCATCCACTCTCCATCATTCCCCCACCACTCCATTTTTAGGAACATGGCCTCCCAGCCACAGACTACATTTACCAGCATCCCTTGAAGCTAAGTATGTTCATGTGATGAGATTCTGGGCAATGGAAGGGGAGTGGGATTTGTATGTCACTTCCTTGAAGATACCTGTCCTAAACTCTTTCTCCAGCAGCACCAAGGAGTACGACATTCAGGAAATGGCAATGTGGCAGTAAGGAAGGAATCTGTGCCCTTTAATGACCTAGAGGAGTAGATCTACTTTGCCACCTGGACCGGCCATGTGAGAAATACACTTCTATCTATGTAAGCCAGTACATTTGGGGGTTTCTTTGTAATAGCATCTCAACCTCTATCCATGGAATGCAAGGTTTTGCCTTATTTTTCAAGAAAAACAGAATTGTTTTAATGGTAAACTTTGCCTTTAGGATCTCTAGGACAGATGGATTTTCTAAATGACACAGTCTAATGTGTCAGACTGAACTTCCCAAATACTCATTATTGCACCAAGGTTATTGCCAAGGGTCTTTCTATCATCTTTCATTTGATAATAGTATTTTGATATTGAAGGGTGAGTTCTTATGTGCCAACCGGCTTGATTTTCATTATTATTGCTTTTTGTAATGAAGTAGCAGTTTTTCAATTTCTTTTACCAACCTTGCCAGTGAATGCTTGTTGAGTAATACAAAGACTGTTTGCGTTGCCTTATCTCTGTTATTGGACTTAACCATAAATTAGATTTTTAAAAATGGAGGTTCTCAGAAGAGAATATCTAAAAAATAAGAAATGGTTCATCAATTTTTAACTTTGAAATAATAGTGTCAATTTTGTATACCACAATCACCAATTTCCATCTGAAAATTTGTTTTGACTAACAGGCAGTACAGGAAATAGAATTTTATTATATTGTATTGCCATTCTCGGCAATTGGGAAAAAAATAGGATTCAAGATTCTAGTTCTACATATCTTTAGTAATAGGATACCCTACATCAGTACTTTTTTGCTAATGTAATAAGTAGCTATGAGATTGTTTAGATGTCAAAAATAAAGTCAATAAAAAGATACATAACATAAAAGAACAAGAACACCAGATGATGGTGGAATATAGCATAATATAGTTGGAACATATCAAAGTCATCGTACAGGCCACTTACACAACTTAATCATAGACAGAACTGTCCTGGAAAAAGTGGCCTGGAAAATAACTACACTGCTAATAGTTCAGTCACTATAATTCTCAAATTCCGATAAGCCAAATCAGTTTCTTCCCCTGCCTTCCCAGTACCCACCGACAGCTGTTGTAGTGGAAAAAACTCCTGGCTATGACTCAGGAAACTTTATTGCTAGTCCTAGATTTACCAATTACTAAGCATGAATTCAGACAGGACATGTAACCTCTGTGCAGAGTGATTACGAACTTCAGAATAAGATAATCTATGGGAAGTATTTTGGAAAGTAAGATTAAGATAATCTACGGAAAGTATTTCAGGAACTAAAAAGTTTTATGCAAGTGTGTGTGTGTGTGTGTGTGTGTGCGCGCGTGCGCGTGCATGAGCGCATGCAAAAAACCTCACAGTTAATATAAAGCCAGGTATATATTTATATTTGCTTATATATGAAAATATATACATTATATATATACATATGAACATAAATATACACATACATACATGACCACATGCATGTGTATGTGTGTGTATAAAAACACATTACCTAACTTAAAAACTTTTACTCCTTAGGATTTATGCCCTAGCTGCTTATAAAATGATACGAGGCAGCAGTTATAGATTAACATGCAATGCAAAAGTGAGTTGAGAAGCTCCAAAACAAAAGTCTATGTAGGTGACATTTAAGGAGTAAGTGCTTTTTAGTGGAGCCCTCCTGCTCTTTGTTGATGGCGAGAAGCCAAGCATAAAGAGACTTTTATAGTGATAAAGTAACAGGTTACTAATAACATATTTGTTACCTGTTAATTCTCACCTTCTCCTTCCCAAATAAAAGCTAGAATCTTAACAATGACCTATATCTCACCATATGGTTTCATCCATATCCCATTCCTCTGTCTCCCCTTCCCTGGGCAATAAAGTCAATAATCTAGCTCCACTAGAGTTTTCAGGAAGTATGATCTGGGTGGTGAGTTCCCATAGCAGAATAAAAGGCGCACATTGTACTTACACCCTAAAGTCAGCAGGACTGTTACAAGCAACATTTTATTGACTTTTTTTTCTCAGTGATAATCATTAATCAAGACATTAAGGAACAAGAAGACAGTCATGAGAATAAGCTGTTTTTCTTTTACTGAGGTTCCAATAATTTTCCCTCCTAAAACAATTTCAAGCAAGCTATATTTGAAAGAATACATGCAAGTAAATTAGGAATTAATTTCTTGGTGGGCTGGAGAGTAATACATATACATTTGATTCATCAGCTCAGATAATAGCATTCTATTCTTAAAATATCTCTCAATTTCCTTTGACCTTTATTTTAAAACAAACAAATGGAAAGCATTGCATTTTATGGCCTTAGTTCTCAACTTGAACACCAAATATATTAGACTATATTTTTACTGGACAGTTTAGTATTGATAAACTATATTAATACTAACACAACAGTCTATCTCAAATTAAAACTTGCAATCACTAGATTTACATTTGTACTGGTAAAGAATAGCATTTAAGAGATTTGCTTCTCCCCTATCTCTTTCTAAAATGATAATATAAAATGTGTTAAAAAAAAATCTCTGCACAGACAGCTTGGAAATAAAGAACAAGAGCTGATCACCGAATACCATTCCCACACATTGTTCTAATGCTGTGGTTGGCCTCATCAGTCAACCGCAGCAGCACTCCAGGAGCCCATGCATCTCCAGGCACTATACAATGCTTACAACTGAGACATAGGTCTTTCAGAAGCTGAAATTTATTCTTTTCCAGACTAACATTTCTTCTTTCCAAACTTTACAAGAAAATAGTTCCTAGAGAAGAATGTATTTAATATTTGCCACCTTGGAACCATAACGTGCCTTTCTTCCAATGAAAACCTCCAAAAGCAGCGTCTCATTTGGTATTAGACGTTATACTCACCAAACAGGCTGCAGAGAACACCGGCCCTGTTTTACAAATGGAGGCCTAAGTGTCATGAGTCCCAGCCTCTCCCGATGCAGACAGAGTAAGAGGAAGCAGTGGACCTGCACTGAAAGCCACACATTTCACTCATTTCTTAAATGTGCATTTGTGAGCTCACATGTCAATACTCCTTAAGCACATGTAAACAAATAAAATACATTGGGAACCCTGGTCCTTGCGATAAGAAATTAACATGTTTAACAGAGCAACTGCAATGGGACAAATTGTATGCAAGTAAACACCATCTCATTGACCCCAGACTTACCTGACCTCTCTCGTCATCTGGGAGTTGTAAATACCCACCAAGATTGATGGAAGTCTGCAAGAACAGGCCGTGGAGACAGAAGCCCCAAACCTTAGTCTTTATATGCCCCTCTTCTTCTGTTCAGACATCTCCCTTCTCTCTGATTGGCTTGTGGCTCTCTCTCACTGCTCCTTGACTTTGAAATCTTCTCTGATCAGCAGCTCTCAGGGTTAATCTCTCCAACTTCCCTAGAGCTTCTACGCACATCCTGGGCATGCAGATGTATTTTCAGTGTCCCAAAGTGACAATCTGTGGGAGATAGTTTCTTCCAACTCCTTTTCCTGGAGACTAGTTTCTCCCTTGCACAGCTTGTCTTGGCTCTTCTAGCAGGCTAAGGGAGGTAATCTATTCTCTTTACCTGCAAGTTGTAAATCATAATGTGGTTCTCTTCTAGAGGGGTGGGCTGCATGACTGGCATATTAACTGCCAGGAATAAACCTCAGGTTCCACATTTGAACCTCTATCTCATCTTCTAAGTGAAATACTACCAAAAAATTATGATTTCTATTATTGCCTTTTCTCTTTGGCACTTTCTTACCTAGATTAGCAATGTTTTCCTTTCTGAATCTAATTTTTTTTTCCTTTTCTCTTTTGTGTCTTGTATAGTTTTCTTTAACACACACTAAGGGCTGTTTTTCTGGAAAAAAAATTCTTTTATTCTTCTTTTCCCACACCATATAGGTTCATGCTACAGAATGAGCTTATATGATTTCTGAGTTATAACTACAATCATTTTGTGATTTCATCTTCACTTATTGAGTTCACAAATGAATGCTAGATTCTGTCATAAAAGGCAAAGGGAGTTTCCAAGTTCATTTCTTTGTGTGAAATTTTATTTATCTATTATTGGGTAAAAGCAAGAGAGGAGGTTAAGAATTCTTCAGCTATGCATAGACTTAGCTGTTATAGTGGCACATATCCAATATGCCATTTTCGAATGTCACCATGACCATTTCTGATCACCAGAATGTGATAGTATTATTACTTAACATGTAATTGAGTTTTTCAACCTTGGACTATTCACAGAGGTGGCAAGAACATTTTTTTAAAATCAGGTTTAATTGAGCTTAACTGATTTCTGCTTAACAGATAAATATCAGCTTTCCCTGAAGTTCTTCATTTTCATGAAATTTAATTAGTGATGAGGTTTAACATTTTTAGCAATAAATTTATAACATCCTAAGTTTAATCCCTTGAAATCTTAAAACAGACTAACTCATCCCTCCTGCCCAATTTCTCTGGATGGAGACATAGTGAATGTCCTCTCAGAATTCTCAAACACTAAGTTATTTTTGAGTCAGAACATTTCCACTGGTTGCCCTTGGGTAGAAATGCAGTATTATCACATTACCTTTGAAATTCCTTCAGACTGTGACCCACATTCTCAGCAAGGCAACTATATATGGATACCTTCTTCTCCATCAACTTTTTAAAATTTTTAAATGATATCATCCTGGGAGTATCTGGTCACTTTGTAAAGTCTCCATCCATTGGATTGAGTACATGTGATACATATGTCTATAAATTAGACGGATATTTGGTCAATTTAGAAGTACCAAGAACTTTATTAATATATCCCCATATATTTCAGTTGTAAAGTTCACAATAATGTCCTAGAGAACTACATTTATCAGTATTTCTTATATTTTTTTCTTCTCACTCCATATCCAGTTATACATGTGTATATGTGTTTATACACTTATAGTTAAAAACATATTTTCCATCTATCTCTCTAACTCACAATTCAGGCTTTGATGAAAGAAATGCTTCACTTAAATACAAGGTCTTAATAGTCACCATTGCTCTCTGTGGATACAGATCTTGGTTGCTATCTTTCATAATAATATTTTTCA